TCCTTCTTGCCAAGACATACTTTTCTTATACTACATTCATCTTTCAGTGAAATTTCATTTCCTCTTTACACTCTTCAAGATCACCTCAAGCTATAAATTCTTGCCCTTTCATGGTTATCTCAACATAAGTTCATGCTCCTGTTGAAACATAAATAACCGGGAGTCATAATTCTCTATTTATTTATATCTCTATTGTGTTAAAATGTAAATTCTTGAAGGGAGTGGAGGTCTCTGTCCTCATCATCGGGTATCCACAGTACTAGATATAAAGCAGACATCAAAAGTCACAGAATAAAGGAAGCAGATTTCATGGCCAGAGACTTAGCACACATATGGCAGGGGTGGAGACCGAATATACAAGATATATGATCAAGACTGGAAGAAGAGCAGGGTGCTCTGGAAACTTGGTAGGGTATCCTGTGACATTCCCTGTGTTCCGCTGACCCCCTGGGTTATTTGGAAGAGGTTCTGATGTTTTTGATTTAAGGCAAATATTCTACTCCTGTCATTCATTATCTCCTTAAAAATATCCTGCCTTTTCTACTTCCCATTCTCTCTGCCCCCTTTGAGGCAACTCAAATGTCATTTCTGCTATTAGAATATTGCTACTCCATGTTATGCCTCTCTGTGGGGTATGAAAGAGAAAACAGCAGGTACCTTCTACCCTACCACTATCTGACTAGCAGCCGGTGCTTTCCTCTCTCATAGCTTTAGTTCAAATGGATTAAATGATCTCTTTACTCATCTGCTTCCCTAATTTGTGTGAAGCCCTTTGGTACCTATTCTATGCCTGTGGATACTTGTATCCTCAAAGCTCAGCCTGGGATGGGGGTGGGGGGATGGCGAGCAACATCCCACAGACACCAGTCCAAGATGTGGAGTCAGGAACCTTTATCGTGGCAGGTGAGGAAAGTGTAAATGAGTTTCACCATCTAAGAGGAGCTCTTGGGTAGCTCAATGAAGCATCTACATTCAGAATTCAATCAGCCTATACTCTGACTTTCTCAGTTTGAAAGGATTCAGTCAACCCCCTATTAATATTGCCTGAGAATGAGGATGTATCATGAGCAGGGAAAGAATGTGGGTGTTGGGAATGGTGCTTCTGATCAAGTACAAAGAACAATTCTACCAGCCCAGAGGAGGCACCATGTGAGTTCCAAGTGTTCTCAAAAACTGATCTTGTCTCCTGATGTACAAATGATAGTGAATTTCTATTACCTGTGGAGAAAGGCATGAAGTAGTCACTTTTCTTAAAATTGCCATTCTCATCCAGAAAGTGTCCAGGGTCAAACATCTCTGGGTTGGGGAATTCTTTGTCATCATGTAGCACCGAGGTCAGTGATGGAAATATGGTTGTGCCCTGGAATGAACAGAAATAATTAAACTGAGTTATTTAAAAAAAAGTCATGGATGTGAAAGGAATGATGGAAATCACTTGGTCCATTCTCTTTGGTCTACAGATTACAAATGATAATGAATTTCTATTACCTGTGGAGAAAGGCATGAAGTAGTCACTTTTCTTAAAATTGCCACTCTCATCCAGAAAGTGTCCAGGGTCAAACATCTCTGGGTTGGGGAATTCTTTGTCATCATGTAGCACCGAGGTCAGTGATGGAAATATGGTTGTGCCCTGGAATGAACAGACATAATTAAACTGAGTTATTAAAAAAAAGTCATGGATGTGAAAGGAATGATGGAAATCACTTGGTCCATTCTCTTTGGTCTACAGATGAGAAAACCCATGTCCAAAGAAGAGCAATAACATTTCCAGACAGACAGACCACATCATAAACACGGATGAGTTTAAGGCCAGTGGCAGTGATCTTGCTCATGTGGCCTCCAATAGCATTTGAAGTATTGAGTACATGGGAACTTGGTGTCAAACCTCTAAATATGTTCTCCTTATCATCAAGCTGTGATGTTGTTGTCTGTCCTAACTTGCTGCTCTATTTCATCACTTCGGTTTTCACATACATCATATATAGATTACGGTTTAAAATGGAAATCTCTGTTGACACTTGAAATATATCTGTTTATAGAGATTTGGTAAATAAACTTCTGATCTAGTTACAAATGACTTGTTCTGGAATGATAATACCATGTACATAAACAAGTCTGACAGTATTGAGTGTTTATCATTGTCATGCAGTTTGTTTGTCTTAATTTCAAAATAGTCTTCATTACTGACTAATCCTAACTAAGAAACACAGAAGGGATGATATTGTTAGTAAAATCATCAATTTGGGATAATTTAGTTTAGAATCATCAGTTCAGGAAAGGATCATCAATTAAAACCTGAACAGTTGGGTGGGTGGAGTTGCGGAGTCAGGAACCTTTCTCATGGCAGGTGAGGAAAGCCTAAATGAGTTTCACCTTCTAAGGGGAGCTCTTGGATAGCTCTCAATATTCTCACCAGGATTTGTTATTCTCTGTCATTGTGATGATAGCCAGTATAACAGGGGTGAGGTGATACCTCAATGTGGTCTATCCAGCAAGAAGACTGTGGTCTGAATAGATAGTTGAAATGATTTTGAATTTTTTTAAAGTTATTGACACCAAATTTGTGACCTAACATGGTCTATCTTGGAGAATGTTTCATGTGCTGATGAGAAGAATATCTATTCTGTAGTTGTTGGATAAAATGTTCTGTAGATATCAGCCAGGTACAGTAGGGGTGAAGTGTTGTTTAAATCCTGTGTTTCTCTGTTGATTTGTCACCTGGATAATCTGTCCATGATGAAAGGGGTATGTACAGGTACCCCGCTATTATTGCATTGGGGTATACCTCTTTCTGTAGATCTAATACTGTATTCTTTATATATCTGGGTGCTCCAGTGTCGGGTGAATGTATATTTATGATTGTTATGTCTTCTTGTTGGATAGATCCTTTTATCATTACATAATGGCCTTCTTTGTCTTCTTATGGTTTTTGGTTTAAAGTCTATTCTATCTGACATAAGAATAGCTACTTCTGCCCATTTTTGGTTTCCATGTATGTGGTATATCTTTTCTCATCCCTTCACTATTAGTCTGTGCGCATCTTTACTGGTGAGATGAGTCACTTGAAGACACCATATAGTTGGGTCTTTGTCTTTGGAGTGGGGAGTTTAAACCATTTTCATTTAGGGTTGTTATTGGATGTACTGTTTTATTCCTAGCATTTTATGGCATTTTGTGTAGATGTTTTATAATTTGTTCCTTTCTTCTCCTTTAATTATTGGTCCAATGTTTGTGGGTTTTTTTGAGGTGCTAAGATTTAGTTTCTTTCATCATTCGCATTTGCATTTCTGTTTTATTAGTGTGTTTT